TTATTTATTTTATTAGGTGGAGAATCATTGGAAAAAGATGCTCGAAGATTTAAAATGTGGTTTCAAATAGATCAGAACGGGCCTTTCGTGGTGGAAGGATTGATAATCATTTTTTCATTAGTCAATTCCTTTTTTTAAATTATACCTGAATTAAAATTTTTAAAATTGTTCGATGTTTTTCAGAAAACATCGAACAATCGATGTAATAAATATTGGAACATCGATGGTCATACATCGATGATTGTTTTCAACATCGCCCATCCCTAATTGACAGAAGAAAGTCAGACGAAACATTCGCTGAAACATGCAAAGTAAAAAGCGCAGCGAGAACGTGACATGGACGCCCTTCCCTGAAAACTTTTGTAATTTACGTTCCGAATATTTTCTATTCATTCCTCCCCATCAACCTCCAGAAAATGAATTCAATGTAATGTGTTTCTATTCGAGGAGAACGTACGATATATTACGTGAACTGTACAGTTACTTACCGTTTTCGCGAGCGAGAACCTACGCTACGTAGGGTACTATTTCCTAAATGTGCCGTCATCATTTTTCATCATTTTCGAACCGAACTCGGGACCAGAACGCGATGCATAAAATCTTCACCGAATGTAGGCACTTACAGCAGCAAGTTTTCAGAGGAACGAAAAAGACTTTGACGTTCGCTATTGTATGTTTATTATTTAATACATACATACGTAATAAGCAAAAAGAATGATGTAATGGGCAGAAGTTTTTATCTACCTAGCGATAGGGCGACGTATTTACTTTTACCGATGAAATAGAAAAATCATCGGATTAATGAATGTACAGATTGCTACCCACCCTAGACAAAAATTTTCAGTCTCTCTCCAGTCTCTCAGAGTCTTTCAGAATCTTTCAGCATCTCTGAGAGCGTTTCTCACAGTCACTCAGTTATTGCCTAGGTGTTTTATGGATCTCTCACAGTCTCTGTATCTCACAGAGAGACTGAATGAATAAAACTGAAAAATTGAGACACTCGAGTTGCTTTTGACAGTCTCTCTCAGCGACACCAGAGAGATTCGATGAGAGACGGAGACTCGAGTCTCGTTTCCAGAGACTCTGAGAGACTGAACATTTTTATCTCGGGCATCACCTATTAAAATTACATTCAGGCTATTTAACATACGGAAAAGTCGTTTGAAAAATAGGTAAATAGATACCTACTATCCTCTAGCATTTAATACCTATACTTATTTTTAAACTTTTTTTCGGTAAATTTTTTTTCTTTTTAATGTCTTACAGTTATATGTACTTCCTGTAAAAAGGTAGGTACACCTTTTTTACTTTTGGTTGATGTAAAAGAATGAGATACGACTTTTCTACTCTTAGGATGCATGAGAAATACAGAATTTACCGTGGATAGAGAGGTAAGAGAATAATAGGAGAACGGAGGGCTCCATGGAAGTTAATAAGAAGTTAGGACACCTTTTCAGGCTTAAAAGGCTAGTCAGAGACATATTAGAGGCAGAAACGGGAGTTAGGAGGGGAAGAGATAGACCTAGATTAGATTACTGTTCACAAATAGTTAAGGAAATGGGTTGTTCGTTCTAATTTTAGGGAAATGCTCAAGATAGGAAAGAATGGAGGTGCGTGTCCTACCGGTCTTAGGACTGACGACCTTATGATGATAATGATGTTTATGATATGAAAATTGCCTGTAATTTGTTTTAAAAATGCGAAATTGCAAATCGTTTTCGTTATCAGCATCAGATCGTGACGTATTATTACGGTGTCGGTGACGACGCCGATTACATCATCTGGAGGAAGGAAAAGACGTAGTGAAGGAGGTGAGGTGGTTGGAGAAGGAAAAGGAGGAAGAATATGGGTCATGATGACGACGTGATGTAACGACGTGGCCATAAAACATGATTTTATGGTTGGCGAACGACACGCGCCAGTTAACCGCTTTTTATTGCTTTCGAAGGCCGTTCGTTGACAGTGAAACGGTGCAACAAATGCGACGGATACGACGATCGTAAATATTTACATTATGTATGCTCCTTAAAAAATAATTTTCACTCGCCAAATATTTATCAATGTTTCGTAATAGTACCTACTCAGAGAGACATTTTTATCCAAACTGATTTGCATCAGTTATGTAGATAGGTAGGTAAATATGGAGCATGATCCCCATAAACAAAGCGATCTAATGATCAGCTTTGGTTACCAAATGGATGACCAGTTAAAATCACAAAGGTTAATTGTAAAACGAGTAGAACTAACGGCAAGAAAACAGGGCATTTGTCTGGAGAAAGAAGGACTTATGGTCACACTTTGAGAGCCTTCCTGATAAATTAATATTAATTTCGCTATCTTATTAACAAAAAAAAAATCAGAAACGATATGACCGCATTAGGTTCTTTTCTTAAGTCACGCACTTCTAAATTTAAATTAAAATCCAATTAAGAAAATGTAAAACTCTAAAAATTAACTTATCAACTACTTGGGTTTTATGATGACACAGTTTCCATACATTAAAAAATAATGTAATTAGTAATAATACGAGATAAAATAAATTAATGTGCTTAAGGTTTTTAATTGATTAGTGCTAACTTAAATTTTGATAAATGTTTTAATGGTTTTTATTATTATAATGCATATGCACCGCTTTTCCGATATTCCTTTACAATACGAATCATGATGTCGAGTTGATACACAAGGGTAATTAATTTAAACTTGAGGTGGTAGAATTATATACCTTCGGGGTACTAGTCGAATTTCCCTTGAATAATTACTTTAAACGCCATTACTTAAAAAAATAAAATTTGTTCTGTTTTAACATAAAATTTCCTACTTTTCTTTACAACCCATTACACAGGTATTTTCTTCGAAAACTAAACTTAATGTCTACGAAACCAGCAACGGCTTTCGTTTTTCACTAGTTTCAAAATTAACAGCACTTATTTTTTTTATTTTACGGATAGTTATTAAAATGAAAGACAAGACAAGAAGCTTTTGACTAATAAGCTATTTCGATGATTTTACCCTTAGCCTTGACCTTATCTGTTGTTCTAGTTCAGTGAAGCTTCACGTAAACGAGTTACAAAAAATGCATTTGAAGTTGCTATTATAACATTATAGTGTAATTTGTAATGATATTGTCTTTACTATCATTGTCGACAACTATCACTCAAAATTCATACGCCGCCGCTGCCAGGAGGCAATTCGATAGTCATTAGGAGGCAATTCGACCTACCGAAAGTTTTTACGTTTACTAAAAGCAGGTAGAAGGGAGGTAACTTGTAATTTTCGTTTGTCTAATATTATCATTGATCATCATTGATTATTAATGGAACTGTTTTTCAAAAATTGTAGTAAGTTGTATTTATTTTTCCATGAATCCATTCAAAATGTAAAATCGGACGATTTGTTCGACAGGACCTCGTTTTCAAGCGGAAGGCCTATTCTTTCTCAATATCTAGGATTTTCAACTTTAACTTGTTTTAAAATGAACAGGTTTTTCAATATTTTATTGGTTTGGATTAATTTTGACTGATTTCCTTTTAGTCTATGAGGGTACTGTTGTTGACCTACATATGTTTGATAGCTAGTCACAATAAGATTTCAAATAAGTCTTGATAATGGTCAAAAATGTGATTGACCCAGACGCCAACATCTGAATTCAAAATTTCTTTTTTTAATATCTATAATTTTCACCAATTTCACCTTTAGCTTTCTTATTACATCTTGAATGGATTTTTAAATTATTGCCTTTGATTATACTACTTAGATATGTAGCAAAATTGATGTTCTGTGTTCATTATTTTTATGTTAAATAAAATTATTGATAAAGTATGCAGACCATTTAAATAAAATAGATAAACACAAGAGTTCTAACCGCACTTACAGCNGTTCTAACCAGCGACCAAAAAAAAAAATAAACATGCCCGAAAAAAAAAACACAATATAGAACTTATTTGAGTACCTACAATTTATAAGAGAATAAATAAATAAATTTTCAATTTTCAATCAGCCCCCTCACCCCCAATCTCTTGTTTAACACAACTTAAATAGGTCAATATTTATATCAATATCAATATTTCTATTATTAAAAATCAGTAAATTTAAAAACTTACATATTGTTTTCTCAACGATTGATCCTCTCTCTTTGTCATGACTGTAATCTGCAAAACAAGAGAAATATTATTAATATAAGCTACAACCAAGATTCATTGTCCACGTAATAACAAACATTAATGTATTACATAAATATATTTTACCTTTGACCACCAAAAATTATGCAAATCACCTAAATATTTCTAATGAAGATAACACCTATAGTTAAAAGTTCTTCTTTTACTCGTCACTTCATGTAGGAAGTAGTAACAATTTTCAATTTAAATTAAATCATAAAGTACATTAATTTAAACAAGATATATTTCTCATTACCATAAAAGGCGGTACTGGCTATAGCTAGTGTTAGAACTAAATTAACATAGGTATTTTAATGAACATACATCCTCCGCTTAGTTTATAATATTCAAGATATGTAAATGTATATTTTATTTAACATAGGCAATCCTTAATATCATTGTTACTAAAATTAAAATAAGTACTACACCTGTATCTAAGGTTTTATAAAGTGATTGCCTACGCACAATTCAATTTATGAGAAGAATAAAAAGGATTTTACCAATTTCCATTTGAATCATTCACCAAATATCTGGATTTCATCGCGATACAATTATACGTACACTTGGCGCACAACGTCAACACAACGTTTCGTCTCGTACTACTTATGTATAAACTGACAAACACAAGTCAGAAGGAGCAAACTAAATTCCTAAAAAACATCCAGACGCGGTGTCTTAACAAAAATACACGAATCCGTCATTGAACCCAGGAGGCATAAACGACTAAAAATATACACCTACACATACAAACAAAATGTACAAGTTCCGACACAAAAGGATCCAGCCAGTGAAGGGTGGAGGTATCCCTCTTGGTCATAAATTAACCCTTCGTCTAACCGACTGCGATGATGCAATAAAACTCTTTGCCGTCTTCGGACCAAGATAGACAAAAGGGTTAAAAATTCAAGGTAAACACTCACCTGAAATTTACCGGAAAATTATAGAAACTTTCTAAAAGAAATCGAAAGCGGAAAACCACCGACCAGGGTCAGTTTTATTCAGTTGCTCTTAGCACAAGGTTACATTACAAGGTGAGTGATAATAAATATTGTTGAGTTTGCTGGAAGACATTAATCTGTATCAGGTAATGTACATTTGGAAATTTTAACTTGGTTAAGGGTGATCGTATTTTTGACTTAAAATGGATTTTATTACACATTTGCTTTTTCCGATATTTATTTAAACCACTATTAGTTATACCTTGTGATGATAATAGGTATACGTTTAAAAAAAATATTAAAATCTACGTGAAGGTATCCAAAATATTTATGACAATAAAAAGTAATTTTCAATTTTAAAGCAATCGGAAAATAGATACATATAATTTTAACCGTCTTTAAAATATAGTTTTAAAATTATAAAATGCCTCACTTCTATATTACACAAACCAGTAATAAAAAAGTAAAAAAAGAAGGCTGTGGTAAATAATAA